TAGCATAAAAGATTGTTAAGATTACCGAGGCAAGCGGTTTGAGGCACGTTACTGAGATGCCTCAGCTCGTCGAATGCAACCGTATCAGGCCCTTCATTCCCAAACTCCAGTTGGTATCCTAAAATTAATATATTTGAATTTGTTTTGCGCATTTTTTTGGGAGATGTTATAAAAATTCGAGTCAAAATTCCCTCCCATATATTCACTTAATGCGGGAGTGGAGGTACCAGTCGAATGCAATTACTGCTAGCAATCCCGATATCGGTTCTCTCAGTCTAAGATAGCTTACAAGCTGATAGCGGATTTGAATTCTTTGGCGAGAGCCAGTACCAGTTTACCACTGGAACAAATGAATGAATCTTGGGGGAGGGGGCGGTTGGTTGTTCCACCAGAGAAGTTGCAATCTCAAGTTTCTGAGCATCAGCAGCGACATTCCCACTGCCTATTATTACTAATTTCCTGGAAAAATCATCACCATACTGTATAAAAACAACACTTTTCGCTCCCAGCTGTATTTTCCCAGCTGCTACAGGCAAAAGGCCATAAACACTAACTAATGAAGCGGTTCACGTTACACTTAGTAGGCCTGTGATTTCCAACTGTGACAGAACAAATCGGCATGTTTCCTTGCACACACGTTAAAATTAAATTTCCAGTCTATTGGTAGTAGCATCACAGTAAATTTGCGAGATCAGGGAAATGTTATTTGTGCGCGAATCGAAATGAATCGAATTTCGAAATGAATATGTGCTGTAGCAGCAACGTCCTGTTATCCAGAAACACCAGTGTGGATTTGAAGATTCGAATACATCTTTTAAACAAAACATTTATCGTAGATGGGCAACGATTACGAACAGTTGGGACCATCACGCAGTCCAGCAGCAGCACCACTACCACCACCACAGGCCGCAGCACCACTTCAACAACCTCCTCTAGTGGAACATACAGCGATAGAAACAACAGAAGCGGCAGGTAGAATGCATGTTTCGCCCATTTTTTCAAGAGATCAAACTCCAAACGCTTCCTTCCATTTTTTACTTGATTAACAAATGATACTTTGCAAAACTGAAAAAAAAAGCAGGAAAAACGATATTGCTCAGATTGTGAGAACGAAATGGATGATCGCTCGCTTCAGCGACGTTTATCACTCATCAGCATTAAGTCATGCATGTAGTGAATACTTTTGGAAAGTCAGAAAGAATTGGACAGTGTGCCTGTAATAGCAGCATAAAAAATTATATAGCAGTAGAGATATGTGAGTTGCACAAGTACTAATATAAATGTTGAGTAGGAAAGCATAATGTAGTGAATTCACATGTCACAGTTCGAAGGATCTGCAGTCATTGTGAAAAGGAGGGGTTCGATCCTCTTCCGGTGCACATCCTTTCCAACTGCCCTATGCTAGTATATTTGGGCTAATTTGCTGTTTTACACACAAGCTGTTTTGCCATAAAAAAGCCGAATTTGTTTTAAAAAACTGTTGTAGCGAAACTCCTTCAGTAGCAGTTCACTCTGCAAGTGGCATGAAGGTGCTTCACGCATCTTGTGTCATCTCTAAGTGAAAGCTTTTTTATTAGCAATCAAACCCGCCTATCTCCAGAGAGGCTTATGTAGATAGACGTATGATGGCCGTCCAATTCACGTTTTGTTTGTGATGGCCTTTGGCTCCGATCAGCGCTATTTTTCGAAAATTATTTTATTCAGGTAAGCCGAGTACAAAGGCGTCTGATAAAACAGCGCCGGGACAGGCACAACCGCAGAAGGGAGCCGCAGTGAAGGGAAAGGCTGGTGTTTCACTTCAGATAAACTGCTTCTAAAATGCGTCTTTAGGCTCACAATCTGCATGTGCAGCTCTTCTCCCTCTCAGTCTTTCCTCAGCCGCAGCATCAAAACCATAACTGCATTCGACAAGTTTTATCCTGTTAATGAAACAGAGATAGTTGACTGAGGTGAAAAGTTGCTAATGCTACTGTTCATGGGTCACTTTCAAGGCCGGGACAAGAACTTGGAAAAGTCGCTTTAGCAGAGTACGCTCATGCTGGTTTTTTTGCCACCAAATTTTTCTGGTATCGATTTTAAGCCGAACCTCAAAAAAAGGAAGGAGTGGAAGCTTGATACGGAATCTGCAACTGATTTTGAAACATCCAGTGCCTTGTTCGGTTTAATCGTAGATTTCTTGCACCGTCCTCGGCAAGACCAAGAAAAATCTTAACCACGTTGCGAAAATGTCTTTGCCGTACGAACTCTTAATTTGGAATCACAGTGGTTTAGCTGCTTATTAAGTGCAACCTCACAAGCTCTAATATTCAGATTTTCCGCTTTCCACAAGCTGTACCCCACAAGTACCATACACAACCTGCAAATATTTGTTGCCAATAAGCTCAATTTCAGGCTGACGAAGAAGAGGAAGAGGGTAAGTTCTAATTTCTTTTTTTGTAAGTCCAAACCTCTCTGGAAATGCGAGATTTTCCGAGTCTTGTGTGACACCTGCGACTAAAACATACGTTTAGAAATTCATAGACCAATCATACTTTAGTCAGAATGAGATAATTCAGCCAAAAAAGTGATCTCATGCTGATTTTTGCCTCCTGTTTAATTCAATTGGAACCAGTATTATTAAAACTCACCCTCATCAGAAACAGAATATATTCCTCCTCCGCCTTTTCAATTTCTCGCGCAGCCGCGCCGCTTGGTTCCTATTTTCCTTCAACTTGTAGAAAAGCCTTTTTGCATCAGGAAAGCTTCGCAATAATTTGAAAGTAGTTGGTGTGCCAGAAAAAATAAATGGCAACGCGCACCAGACTAGCCGGTGCGATCATGCGTTTTGTGCAATTCAGC